CAAAAGTGATATACTGCTAAAATATTTTTGTGATTATGCTAAAAGTCAATCTGACCCCTTGAAAGAACACGTAAATGTTTACTGCTTCCTCAAATAAAAGCTACTTCACATGTGCTCTACTTCTTTAAAAATACACTGAATGGAGGTGCTTCTAAGTGTCAGATTTGTACTTCTCACTGCCGTTTTGACACATTTGGAAAAGACATAGATGAGAAGGAGGAAATTAGTAGATCAGGAAATAATCCATAGTAAATCAAAATACAGTTGATGTAGTAATTTTTTTGTTGCTGTTATCATTAGGTAGGCTGTAGTAAAGCAGATTTCATCAAAGTTTCCAAACACAATGCAGAGTCCTTCAAATCAGAAAGTAACATTCAATTTGGTTTATTTTCATGAAATGAATATCTTTAGCTGTCTTCCTCTCCTGAAATGATGGATGTTGGAAGCTGAGATCCAGATACCTCAACCAGCTTTAATAACCGCAAAAAAATTGTTTGTAATACCCTAAAGTCCCTTAGATACACCAATTATTTCTTTTCCTTGTGACTTCTGTCTCTGCAGATTAGCTCTAACCCAACAGCTATGAGATTTGATAGAACAGGAGTGCTGTACCCATGCTAATAGGCCCTGCTGAAAGAAAGGGTGTAACAGCTTAGACTTCAACTAGCCAATTTATTGCAAACACTGTCCAAGTTCTCATTTGCCTCACTCAACTAGATGTGTTGGTAGAAAGTTTCAGATACTTCTTCAGGTCACTCTGGGTTAGAAACCTTAGATCAGACCACTGTGAAACAGAAACATCATCATCGTAGAGATGATGAGTAGTACAAATAATCCTCATAGCTAATGGGTAATGTAGATTTTTATTTGTATGTTCAGAGAAAAAAACACATTACGGATATATAAGCACTTTCTGAAAAAGAGAGCAATACTGAGGAATAGTATGGGAATGTTCACACACAAGGCCTGCTCCATGCATTGCATAAATCAATACAAGATTGAGCTCAGATTGAGCCGTATCACCAATGACCATGCTATACTATTTTCATCACTTCCACCTAAACACAGACCAACAGTAGCTGAGAGAAGCAGTGTGAACCACTGCTTAGAATTCTCCCACCAAACTGAGGGACTGTCAATGTGATTTCCATGTTGTTGCTGGAATTCATTCTCTCTCTGGATACTGCCAAACCAACCCAACCAGGGATGACTCATCTGCAGGGTCTCATGAAGTACTTCTGAAAAGCTTGTGTTCTGCCTTTGGAATGCTCTGGATTACACCAACAGTTTGTGATGCTTCAGTATGGGGGAAGAGGACATCCCTGACTCTTCCCTACAAAGATATTCCCAGTGTCCACTCTGCAGTATTAACTGCATGCTCAATTTATTCCTTACTACCTAAGGAAAGCATTGAGTGTTCATTCCTTTGGGCAATGGTATCACCCTCCCACTCTGATTTTGCTTCTGAGGCAACATTTTTTTATGCTTGCACAGGAAAACAAATGAGCAAATTGCCCAATCCCTCGCTCTTCTTTTTTTTTTTTTTGTTTTCCTCTTTCTAGCCTTGTGGTAAAGAGATGTATGATGAGCTATAGAGGAAAAAATCTGGGAGTCATGGCTAAAATACTGTCAGCACATAGAGCAGAAATATAAAAATCCAAAGAAGGGCAAAAAATAAAACAGAAGAAGAAAAACTATTCCACAGGAGGTGAGAATAGAAGCCAGCAGGACTGTTTTGTTTAGAAAGGATCTGATAGATCCAATGGCAGTTTACATGAATTAATAATTAAACATGTCTACTCGGCTGATAGTAATTTTTACTTTAATGCATATTAACTAAAACTGAACCCAGTATTTGTAGCACAACATATTGTAGAGCTATGATATTTACTACCACTTACGCTGCATTAATGAGACAACAACCTAATATAATTTGCTACCACTTACACTGCATTAATGAGACAACAACCTAATATGACTAAATTGGGTAAGAATTTCATATTTACTGAATACATCACCCCTCACATTTAAGGACTGAAATCAAATGTTTTGCTGACTGGAGTTTGGAAAAACATCATTGATGGTAGATTTTTGCATCATTGTCTGTCATGGCTGATAGACAACTTTAATTGAAGCCCCTGGGTTCTGCGTCTTTCAGCAAAGGCACTCAGAAAGCTTGTTCTGATTATGACAATGGCAATGATCCTATGTAAGATTACAAATGTCACAGAAAGAGGTAAAGAAAATGAAGAAATTCCATCATAATCATGTCACTTAAATCTGTATAATATACCGGGACAGACAGAAAATGATTACAGTTCCTAGCTTCAAGAATTTACCAAATGTGCACAAGAGGTATCTGAAGTTCCACCTGCTGCACTCCAGCCACCTCTTTAGCTGTCCAGAGATGTTTCACACATCTGTCTCTACTTATGTTATCAGAATTCCTGAGGTGAAATTTCTTAGAAGTTTCTCAGAAATGGCTTCATAAACCTATTTATTGATTTGGCTTCTCAGAAGTAGCTTGCAAGAGTTCCTTGACAGCCACGTCCGAAATGAGTTTCTACTTGTTTGTGTCTTGTTCTGTGAGCCCAAAAACTGAGAGGCAAAAGGTATATTAGTCAGCACCATGTAGGATTTATTGACACCTCTTTATTACAGAAAGTCTTTAGAAAGGAAAATAAGGGTCTATTGGGAAAATACACTCAAAGTACTGTCTTTGTCATATCTGGGAAACCTGGCTATAATGATAAACTGTGTGTTCATCTCTAGCTTTTGGGCTGGACTGTTATAAGGTCATGTATTGCGGAAAAAAAACAGGTCCCTCTCACAAAAGACCTAGAGAAATGACTGAATCAGGACTGAATAAGGGAATGTTTCTTTAGCAAAATGGTAATATAAGTGATATGGGGCTGACTAATGACACAGTTGGTTTCCACTAAAAGAGTAACATGATGATCTACAGTACTGAAATCCAGAGTCTGAGCTAAGGTATTATTTTTTCCTTATTTTCCATCTGAGTCAGTTTGAACAAAACCTGTGTTCAAGAGACCAAGTCGCATGCTTTTTGCTTCTGCATTTAGTCACATGTGGGTATCCCCATTCGATCTGAAGATAAGCAGAAGATATTCCACGTCAAAAGCCCCATAATGGTGATTCAAACAGTTCCAACTCATAATGGACTTTTAATGAAAATTCTCTGTGGACAGTTTGACCATGAAAATAATATTTCCCATGGGCAGAACTGATTTCATTAAGCTGAAAGAGGAGGAATCCAGGATAGATGAGCAAGCGCAATGGTCTATGTGTCTCTCAATTCACAGGTTTTAAGGTTCCAGTTCTAAAAAAGGGTACATCTAGTTTAATGGGAGGATTAAACAGAAGCTCAGCAATGTCAAATCTCTGGCCATCACTTTGTCCTATGTGTGTTTTTCTAATGGAAAGTATAGCCTGTCTCATTGCTTTCAATGTAGTGAGTCATACCTCTCCTGTCTAAGTGTACCTACTTTTAAATCTAGATAGAATTTTAAATTAATGGAACACATTGTTATGTCTGTAGTCAATCTCCCTTTGTGTACTCAGAAGGGTTACCCTGAATTTGGCTATTATATGGCAAAATTAATCCCATTTAAGGATTATTCTTCCTGGAAATGCAATGGGTCATCGCTTCTCTTGAATATTTTATTCAAAACATTAAGCCTCATGTACGCCATAGAAGAATCTGAACATGGGATCTTAAGATCTTAAGCACTCTGAAAGAACACATCAGCTGCAGAATATGATATCCAGAAAAATACAAGTTCTCATTTCAAAGGTAATACACACACAGACACACACATACATATATATGTATATAAATCTGTATGACATATTTGCTGTGCAGGCCTAAACTCCTTGTGAAGTTGTTTTTCAGCATAGCAAATTAGAAAAATATGCCCAGAATTAAAGGTTACTTAATCGGGTTGAAGCAGCAACTTCAATTCCAGCAACTCCCTTCCACTATGTTACATCTGATAATGTACCCAAGTCCAAACATAAACTTAGTTCAAAAAGATGTTTGGTCCTTGAATGTAAAATGACACTTAGCTTACACAATTAGCCAGGTAATACATATCCTTCCAAGAGAAGCAATTTTTACCACAGAATTATCTGCATCTTACTAATCTCTGATTGTTAAGTTTTACTTGCTGAAACTTTTCCATATGGCTTTTTGAATACCACTGTCCTGTATTTAATTACCACAAAGGATATTAATGAATAGGTTGGAAATTTTGCCCAAGCCTCGTTCCACAGTTTGGACAGACTGATGGAGATAGAGCCAATGAGCTGAACATTTCTGTCAATATGAGTCTGTGCCATTTCACACAAAAAAGCAGTGGCAAAAGAGTAAACAGAATAAACATATAGAAATAAAACACACAATTATTTTTGAATTGTCCATAAACTTCTAAACCAGCATAATCATAAAGTAGCACTGAGTGAAGCGAAACACTGTTTTGCTAACCTAAAGGACAGTCAAACAGAATTGGTAAGTAGTTCTTGTAACCAAGACCATTTTGATCAAGCAGTAGGTCAGACGCACACCCCAAAATGCAAAGTGTATTTCCAAATTTTAGAGGCAAAGCATGATACTGAGCAGAACCAAAGCAGGGGTAGGCAGCTTGAGTGCAGAGGATGCAAGGAAGCTAACGTGGGTGGGAAAGCATGTGTTGCTGCCTGGATGAGGAAGTGGTACACCACAGTTACTTCATAAGTGCAAGGGCTTTATAAACTAAATCTCCTAGGGACTGTTTTAAATATACAAAGAGTGACATGCAACCCTGACAGGCTTTTGTTTGAGAAGGCTGGTTGCCTTCTAAAAACACTGGACTGCTGTTTGTACTTTTTCCAAAAAATTGCCTATTTTTAACCCCAACTTCTTCATATAAACAGTGGGAAGATGCACCATGTAGTAAACTCTGTTTTGTCTGGCATGAAATCAATGGCTTCCTCAGTCTTACCTGACAATGGAACACATATTCTGGTGTAGTTTTCTTGAACTTCATGTTCCATACCAAGGCTACCCCATCAGGCTCATGTGGAGCATCTTCATTATTGTTATAAGATGCAACCATCAACTCAGGGTACTAGAAAGGAAGAGATAAAGCAAATGAAATAATATGGATGATGAAAAACCTATGCAAAATCATATGAGACAGAAAAAATCTACACTAAATGTGCAATATCTGGTTTTAATTATAATACATGCTGGTTTAATCATAGTCTTCTGCCTCATTTTGGTTTTATATTTTACTCATCCCTAACATCCTTAAAGCCCCTGATACTTGCTCTCTATCATTATTCTCAGATATCACAAAGGCAATGTTATTTTCTGCAGGTAATTCTCAGAAAAGACAACTAGCAGAATATTTATAAAAGGAATGCAAAGGAAGGAAGTGGAAAAATCTAAAAGCTTGAGCAATTTTAACATATTTGCTTAACCATCTCTTCAGGAACAAACAGCTGTCTTAATTGATTTTGGTAGTAAAAGCGCTATGACCATAGGCTTGACGTGCTTTTATTCTGAAATTCACATTTTTTTCAGCATTCCTAAAAACTATTCTTTCTTCTTTCATTATGCACTCTTCC